CACACACACACACACACACACACACACACACACACACACACACACACTAAATCTAGAGACTACACCTGAGAGAAAACATGCAGTATTATCTTTCTGAGTCTGGTTTATTTCACTTTAATATAACAATCTTGAATGTGCTGGGCGTTGGTGGTGCACACCTTTAATCCTAGCACTCAGGAGGCAGAGGCAAGCAAATCTCTGTGAGTTCAAGGCCAGCCTGGTCTACCGAGTGAGTTCCAGGACAGCCAGAGCTGTTACACAGAGAAACCCTGTTTCAAAAAAAACAAAAACAAAAACAAAAACAAACAAACAAACAAAAACAATCTTCAGTGCATCCATTCCCTAGCAAATATCATGATTAGATTTTTATTTATGGACAAATAAAATTCCATTATGTATGTGTACCGTGTTATGTATGTGTACCATGTTTCCTTTGTCCATTTATCTGTTAGTGGATATCTTGGGTGGTCGCATTTCCTAGCTATTGTGAATAGTTCAGGAGTAAACATGGAGAGTACCTGTGTATACACTGGTTTTGAAACTACTGCTTTGAAGTATCAATCATTTATTATTCACATGTCAATAACCAAGAGAGATCACATGCCACGCCACCTCTGTAAAAAAATATAAGGAGTATAGTCCAGCATATTCCTAGGAGAACTTGTGAGTGTCCTAAATATTACTACGCAATAGTAATTTCTTGAACTTTAGCTTTTGAATAGAATAGAACATATCTTCCCATCTTGTTCTTTTACATAAGAGTCTTAACTGCCAAGTATGGAGGCAGAGGCAGGTGAATCTCTGAGTTTGAAGCCAGCTTGGTCTACAGAGCTAGTTCCAGGACTGCCAAGACTACACAGAGAAACTCTATCTCAAAAAATAAAACAAAACAAGAATATTAACTATTTTTCCCTTTGTATTTCCATATCAGTTTTAGGATTAGTAAGCCGTATGTTTAAAAAAGTCTATTAATACTTTGGATTTCAATTGCTTTGTAATTAAATTTAAAGAAAATGGTTATTATAGTATATTTATATTATAAAACTAGTCTAATCTATGAACAAAGTCAATGTCTCCATTTACATATACCCATAGGAGATCTTTGTTTTTAAGGTGTAGATAGACAAGTAAGACACATAGACATCGAGTTTTATAAATGTCCCTGATAAGGAACTACACATTAAACATTTTAAAATATTCTTATTTATTTTGGGATGCACATATGTGGAGGTCAGAGGACAACTTGAAGGGGTTTGTTCTTCCTTCTGCTTTGTGGATGCCTGGGTTGAGCTCAGCTTGTCGGGCATGGCACCAGCGTCTTCACTCACTGAACCAGCTCACGCGCCCTGTGTATGTTTTCGCCAGTGCTGTAGAGGCCACTGCACATGCTGGACACTCTGCCACTCAACTACACATCTCGAGCGTATGCGACTACACTCCTTTCTTCATTTAATGTGTTCGATTTTAAAAAGTATTAATATTTTATTTCATGTTCCACTTCCTGTTTGTTGCTGATGTTTCAAAGTGATATGTTATTGTATCCATGGTGGGGGGGGGTCTCTGCAGGTGTCAGGCAAGGATACAAGCCACAATAGATAAGAATGAAAATTTGGTTAAGATTGACTTTGTCAAATTGGAGCAAACCTATGGGAGTCTGATTCCAGGTAGTTTGTTGTCAGTATATCTAAACACGGTATAATTTGGAAAAAGTTTCCTGGTGTAATACTATCCCCAGTGCACAGGGAAGCATAATTACATAAAACTCAACTCAGGATACATGTCATTTCTTCTAAGAAGAAGGGTTCTGGAGATGGGTTACCTGCACTGGCTTACAGACTGTATTAGTTTAAGGACTTAACAAAAGGTCTGGCTTGGTCTCTGTCACACAGATAGCATAAAAGAAGTCATTTGAGCTATTAGCCACCTCTGGTGCTGGTTGGGGGAGCTTGAGGAGCCTCTGGCTATACAGATAATGTAAGGGTCATTTGGACTATTAGGTATCTCAGGTCCTGGTTGTGGGAGCTTGGCAGGGGTGGGGAGGGCTGGCTGTAAGGTCATTTAGATTACTAGCCACCTCCAGTCCTGATTATAGGAGCTTGATAGATATGACCTGGCTCAACAGATAACGCAGGTCACAAGACTGTTAATCATTTCCTATTCCCAGCTTTCTGAATGGAAGAACAGGTTCTGTAGAACTATGAATACAAGGATCTTCATGCTGTGCTCTGAACACATCCATACATTTTATTTAAAATTGCGTGTGTGCATGTGTGCGTGTGTGTGCGTGTGTGTGTGTGTGTGTGTGTGTGTGTGTGTGTGTGTGTGTAAGCCACATTCAGGTACCCATAGAGGCTGTAAAAGCATATCAGATCCTGTAGCTGGAGTACCCACCCCATGTGGGTGCTGAGAACTCAGGTCCTGTGGGAGAGAAGGAAATGCTTTTAACCGCTGAGCTATCTTTCAAGCTCTTGACATCACATTACTTAAGTAATTTATCTCAAGATGCTTCAGAACTTATATGTATATAACAAAATCATCTGAAATACTCTGTAGAGAAAGAAATGTTTTTTTCCTTAAGAAAAAAGTATATAGACCACATAGACCAGGCTGGTATCGAACCCACCTTCCTCTTGGTTCAGTCTACCAAACTCTTACTACAAGTGTATAATCCATTTTCAGTGTTGAATTGTTTTATTTATTTATTGTGCAGGTGCATGTGTGTGTGTGTTTTGGGCAATCACGTACCAGGGCATGTTGAGTGGAAGCCATTGGACAACTTTTGAGAATGGTCTGTCCTTCCAGAACTCAGGATATCAGGATTACACAGCAAGCACTTTTACCCAGTGAGCCTTCTTGCTAACCCTCGGGTTTAACTCTTGTCTGTGATAGCCAGGCATGGAGCACACGCCTCTCATCCTAGCACTCTGGAGAAAGAGATAGGAGGACTTCTGTGGTTTTAGGCCAGCCAGGACAGCTAGGTCTACACAGAGAGAGTCTGTCTCAAAACCCTGTTAATGGTGATGTTGCTTTAGTTGTTACGGTTAACATTTTCTATATGGTTAAGGAAGCTTCCGTGTATTCCTGGCTCACTGAGAATTCATATAAAAATGCATGCTTATTTCTCCTTACATCTGTAAGCATGTTGAATTATATTGTTTGTACCTAACATTAAATCAACATTGCAGTCCTAATTTTAACCCAATGTGGTCACAGTATTGTTTTCATTTCTCTCTTTTTATTATGTATCATCTTTTTCAGTTTACTCATGTTTTAATATGGCCTACATCTACATTCCTAATAGACGTTTCCTTTATAATAGCCTTGTATGGGATTAAACTCATAAAATTTATGTAGGGAGTTTTTCTATTTTAGCGATTATAAGATTAGAGTAGAGATGGCCAGATGGCTCAGCTATTAAGAGCACTTGCTGCTCTGCCAGAGGACTGGAGTTCAGTTCTTAGCACCCATGGTAAGTGGCTCACAACCCCTTGTTACTCGAGCCCCAGGAGATCCAATTCCCTCTCCTGGCTTGCGCATTCACCTACACATGTGTGGCATACACTCACTCAAATACAAGTTTACGAAGTAAATACATATATTTTTAGAAGTATGACATTTTCTTTTTAGTACTGCTTGAGGTAATTTTCCACTGAGTCAACTTAGCATTGTATTTTTCTTTAGGGAAGTATTAAAATCAGCAAACAGTGCATGATGGCACCGACCTGTAATCCCAGGACTTGGGAGATGAATATGGAAGGATGAGGAATTTGGGCTTATCTTCAACTCCATAAGAAGTTCAAGACCAGCTTAACTACACAAGTCCCTGTCTCTAACAAAAAGTCCCAGAAATTTTTAAAATTAGAAATTTGATCTCTTTAATATACATAGAACTATTTAATTTTTGCCATATTTAATGAGTTATTTTTTTATAGAAATTTACCAAATTCATCTACAATTTTGTTTATAGCTATAAGCTTTTAACATACCTTTTAAAAATTGTATTTATCATTTATTATTACCTACTTTCTTGATTTTATTTTTATTTATATGTAAAGTGTTTTGCTTACATGTATGGACGTGCAGCACATGCATGCAGTGCCCAAGGAAACCAGAAGAGGACAGTGGATCCTCTGAAACTGGAGATATAGCCAGTTGTGAGCTGCCATGAGGGTGCTGGGAATGGAACCTGCGCGGAGCAGCCAGGGCCCTTGACCCTGAGCCATCTTCCCAGCCCTATTTACTTAGCTTCTAATACTGATTCAGTCGTTAGTCATACCTGTCCTTTTGTCCTGAATACAGATTCCCAGCACCTCTTCTTGTATGTTCCCAGTGGTTCTCTCCCCAGATCCATCCTCTGGGGAAGGGCATTTTCAAGGCCCTCTTTATTGCATCCTAAATTACTCATATTATTATCTTTTTTCTAAATGTTTCTGTTTGCCTTTAAAAATTTTCTTGAAATGGGTGCTTAACCCATGATATTTTTGTGATTTTTTTCTTTGCCCTTATTTGGACTATAGACGTGAAATTAACTAAGTGTAAGACTTGATTTGTGATGACCTGCACCCATTTTTGTTACAAATGTGGATGCTGTTTTCCTTAGCTTTCCTTCCTCCTCCTTTTTTGTGAATGTGTGTGCATGTGTGTGTGCACATGCTTGTGTGTGAGCATGTAAGGGTGTGTGCGCATGTGTGTGTGCATGTGCGTGTGTGCGTGCGTGTGTGTGTGTGTGTGTGTGTGTTGGAACTCATTATGTAGACCAGGCTGAACCCAAGCTCACAGAGACCCATTTGCCTCTGCCTCTGCCTCCCAGTGCCGGGGTTAAAGGCGTGTGCCAACATGTCCGGTTCTTTTTATGCTGATATTCAAATTTAAAGTTTGTTTATTTGGGAAAGGCGCTGTTTGACTTAAGACTTTATAAAACCTATTCCAGCTAGGGATAGTGGGCCACAGCTTCAATCCCAGCCCTTCAAGGCTGAGACAGGAAGATAGATAGGGAACTGGAGGCCAGCCTGGAACACATGGCAAGAGCAGGTTTCAAAAAGCAAAGTTTATTCTATTTTGAGATATTTATTATTTATCAAAGAATATGTTGTTAGTCCTTTTAAAATTGAAGATAATATTTCCCATTATTCTTTTCCAGCTTTATTGGGGTATGAGTCACTGAAGACACAATGTATCCATTTATTTGTACAATTCCATGATTTTATATATCCACAGGGTTGTGCGGACGTTGAATATCTAATTATAGGACATTTCATTTCCACAGTGAGAAATCTTGTACCCTGTAGCAGTCAGTTCTATTGCTTTTAAACTAGAAAATATAGGAGTCAGCTTTCGTTTGGCTCGTTTTCTGTCCAAGCAGGGAGGTGATATTAGATTATTCCGCCTGCTTTGTCTCTTACTGTTCTGTTCATGCTGCTCCCATTATGAGATCTCCACAGTTGCTGAAGCCTCTTTTCATCAGCCTGTCTGGGCGTCCTAGGCAGCCAACGTTTGAAGCACCATTTTGGGAAATACAGCTCTCTGCAACTATAAGTGAAACTGCGCACACCAAGTCCTAATACATAATTTCCATTTAGTTTTAGATATCTTGTAACTCATTTTTGAACATCTTCTTTTCATAATATTTAGAGATATAAGTTATTTCCTCCATAATATGGTGACGTTTTTAGTTATCTTTTCATTGCTGATTTCAGTTGTAATTGCATTTTGATTAAGAAACATATGTTAGTCAGGCATGGTGGCATACACCTTTCATCTGAGGCAAAGACAGGAGAATCCTTGTGAGCCAGTCTGGTCACCATAGGGAGTTCTAGGACAGCACAGAGAAATTCTGTTCTAAACAAACAAACCAACAAACAAACACTCTGAAATAAAACACACTACATATCACTGTTGGCCAATAGGATATATAAATAAGTAAATAATAAAATAAATGTATATCTGTATTGTTCAGTAAAACAGTCTTTATGTGGTTAGTGAATACTTGAAATATGGTTTGTGTAACAAAAGAACTGGTCCATTCCATGTTATTTAATCTTTTTAAAAATAATGATTTATTTGTTTTTTTTCACATGCGCTGGTATTTAGTCTGCATAAATGTCTGTATAAGAGTGTTGGAACTCCTGGAGCTGGGGATATAGACAGTTATGAGCTACCATTTGGGTTCTGAGACTTGAACCCAGGTCCTCTAGAAGAGCAGTCAGTATTCTTAACTGCTGAGCCATCTCTTCAGGCTCAAATCTCATGAACTGAAATGGCCACCTGTGATTAGTGGCTATTAATTTGAAAAGGATAAGTCTATATGATTTTAGTCATTGACATTTATCTTATAATACTTTATGATGTGATGTTTGTTACATTTTAAAAAAAGTTCCATGTTTGATTAAAGTGAAGCTATATCTGTCATTTTGGGGTGTATGCCCATTTGGTCAAGTTTGTCTCCCATGTTGTTGAAATTTTCCATATCATTTTCCACTTTTGTGTCTCCTCATAACCACTGAGAAAAACTTACTGTAATCTCTTACTGTGGTATGGATTTTCTGTTTGTACCTTGTATTTCTGTCTAATTTTGCTGTATTTTGAATTAATTCTATGCTACATTCTTATTTCAGGAAATGTGTAATTTAAAATCTGTGGTTTAGGGGCTGGAGAGCTGGCTCAGAGGTTAAGAGCACTGGCTGCTCTTCCCATGTTCAGTTCCTAGCAGCCACCTGGTGGCTCACAGCCATCTGTAATGAGGTCTGCTGCCTTCTTTTGGCCTGCAAGGATACACGAAAGCAAAACATGTATACACAATAAATAAACAAACAAATAAATAGAATCTATGGTTTGCAATAATGTTCATTGGTATTATTGTGATACATGTTAATTGAGCGTAATTTAGATAAACCTAACCATATAGAAGTTAAGCTGAGCATGGTGGCTCACACCTCTACTCCCCACACATGGGAGACCCAGGCAAAAAAGACTGTTAAAGATTTATGCCAATTTTGACTACAGATTCAGATCCTGCTTCAAGAATACATTTGTAAGTTAAAAAGACATATTCTCTATCACCTAGTTATTATAAGGTATTTGAGTCTCAGTTCTTGGTTGCTGGAAACAAACTGACAGTATCTAAATTCTAGACAGTAGCTTAAATCAGTGTTTTTCAAATTTCCCATGATCAAGACAAGTTTGGGGTTTTCTGTTTTCCCAACATATTAAAGTTTGATGCATGGTTCTGCTGTGTATGCCTGGGTCATAGCTTGGACCACATGCAGCTAACTACACTAGATATAACCAGTTAGGCCATGTATCATGTTCTTGGATGCCAAATTGCTAAAACATTTTCTAAACACTTTCAGTTTCTGGTTTATTTTTGGTTTTGAGACAGGATCTCTCTCTTTCTACAGCCCTGGCTGGCATGAAACTCTCTATGTAGACCAAGTTGATCTTGAACTCACAGAGATTTATCTGCCTCTGCCTCCTGGGTCTGGGATAAAAGGTGTGCATCATCACACGAGGGTTATCAGAACATGTTGAAGCCCAGAGAGAAATAATGGTGCATATGTTCTGTGTTAGACTCTGCTTCCTGAAATGATATGAATGTGCTCCTGTTCCTTTTAAACATCTCTGGCTTTGAGCAGTCCTCCAGGGTGTTTGTGAGCACTGCAGTCTCTGCCTTATCCTTTGCACTGGTGAGAAGCAAGAGCAAAGGAGCCAAAACTCTGCCTGTTCCTTTCCAGGGAAAATGGCTTTAAGAAAATTGAGTTTGTTCTTTTATCTTTTATTTTTGCTCATCAAATTATTTATTTATTTTTTTGCTCATCAAATTCTTTAGATGGCTTTGCTTTAGATAGAAAGAGAATGATTTGGCATGTTAAATAACTTTTTATGTGATTTATCTAATTTCAGGTATCAATCATGGTGATCTTAACGACCATAACATCTTAGTAGACTTCAGCGAGCCAGCCTCTGGAGATGCTGTGTATCGAGTCTCTGGGATTTTAGACTTTGGTGACATGAGCTATGGCTACTATGTGTTTGAAGTGGCAATCACCATTATGTACATGATGATTGAAAGCACAAACCCGATACAAGTGGGAGGCCACATCCTTGCAGGGTTTGAAAGCGTGATCCCTCTGACGGCTGTGGAGAGGAGCGCACTGTTTCTCCTTGTCTGCAGTCGCTTTAGTCAGTCTCTTGTCATGGCTGAGTACTCCTGCCAGCTGTACCCGGAGAACAGAGAGTACCTCATGGTTACAGCAAAAACCGGATGGAAGCATTTGCAGCAGATGTTCGACATGGGCCAGAAGGCCGTAGAAGAAATCTGGTTTGAAACGGCCAAGTCCTATGAATCTGGGATCTCCATATGACCAGAGACAAACTTGTATTTCCTTGGCAATCAAAACTCAGTTAGGCCCAGATCAAATTCATGAAAGATTTTCCTGCAGAATTAAAAATGAAATGGTAAAACAAATTTATGCTGAATATGAAGAGGCAAAGGAAAGTCTAGTTTTTACAGCAATCTTAGGACTACCTTTTACACTTAAGAAAGTACTACATTTAGAACTTCCCTAGTGTGCAAGGCCCTGGGCTTAATTAACCTCATCACTGTAGAAGAGAAAAACACACTCACAAGGAAGCATGTCTTTCTGCAGGCTTTGTCTTTTCTTTCAATCAAGCATGATTATATATGATTTGTAATCACTCTCTCTAAGTATATTCGATAACTTTTAAACTATGAAAGGAATACATATATAATAACTATATTTATGTATTTTAAATAATCCACATATTTTAAACACCTAGTCTACACAACACTAACTGTATAAACTCTCCTCTGCTCTCACTTCCCTAGCATCCCATGGGATTCTGTCTTTTCCATAGCATTTCACTGTCTTACCTGTTGTACAGTCATCTAGCCTGTCAATACGACCATGGCAGAACCATGAGACACTTACGTCTGTGTGTCTCTCCTTGCACCTGTGATAGTGCTTTTCCCACAGAAGAGTCTTTGGACACATTCACAAAATGAATGCATTGCCAGAGGAAAGATGCTATGGTGCCGTAGGGGAAAACACGGGTGGGAGTCATGGGGAAAACATTTCAGAACATTGAGAGAGTAGCTGCAACTGGAACCAGAGGTAGACATTAGACAACAGTGGAACTGCATGGAAGCAGACGGAGACATCCAGGCAAGGCCATTAAGCCTGACAGCAGCAAGGATCCTCAGCAGATGGGTGCTCGCTACACTGCTCAGGCTGGTCTTCCGCTCCTTGGTTCCCACAGTCCTCCTGTTCAGCCTCCCAGTGTAGGCCCCTAGCCCTACACCAGATGTTTTTCATTCTCTATAATTGATTGCCTTTTATAGAAATCTGTAAAATTAGTGAAATGAAGCTCATTACATATTTAAGTTTTACCTCGGTATTTACTGTTTTTTTCCATGACTCTCTAATGTAAGTGGCTATTTACATATTCTTGTAGGGTGGGCTTTTTTTTTCTGTGTTTAGACTGGATTCCATTGTGTTGTTCATGCTGGACTCAAGTTGTAATCCTGCTTCATGCAACCAAGCAATTAGCTGGGACTGTAGGCATGTCCACCACACTCGGTCCGTATTTTTGGTTTAACCACGCTTTCTACAGATGACTCAAGTCAGAACCCTGGCCATTCACACACCTCAGCAGTGCTTACCTCTCTGTGAGTAGGCCCTGATACTATAACTGCTTGTCTGTCTGTCTGCCTGCCTATCAACCTGTCTGAATTTCCCAAGCTAGGCATTTCTCTGAATTTATTTGGAATTCATTTTTAACTTCTTTTTGTTTTGGCTTCCTTTTTGTAAAATCAAGGTAATGGTTGTACCTATCCCAGAGAGTTAGGGTTAGGGTTTTGTAAGAGAATATGACAACCTCTTAGCATAGACTCCGGAACATAGTAGAAGCACAATAAATAGTTACTAAATAATGGATCATATTCCAGGTTACCCAAGCTCAAAATCCTGGTGTAACACGCTGCTTGCCATATCCAGTCAGTGAGCCTTGCTGCTTTAACAAATCAGAATCTTAGGTCAACAATCTGGAGCAGCCCTCTTTCCTGCTTCATTAGTTGTTCAGTATATATACTATCACCCAATGTTTATTGAACATTATTTAATCCAGAACAGAATCATACAGATAGTCTGAAAATAGAACCTTTAAAAGCTGAATTAATTGACTCAAAAGACAGCCCAGGCTTAGATCTTAAATTAGGTCTTTGGATTGTGACCCCTGCTCCTAATCACTACAGAATCCCATACTTCTTTTGCCTCTCCTCTCCTGTACACACACACCCCCCCCCCCCCCCCCCCCCGGGGGGGGGGGACAGAGACATCGAGGCAGAGAGACAGAGAGAGACGGAGAGAACAAGAACAAATGAAATCATTCACATGTGAAACACTTAGGATTCTCACATTTAAGATTTTTGTTTAACTAGGCTAATCAGGAAACTAGGAATCAGAAAAATGGACTGAAACTTCGGCATACTCCAGACCAGCGTTCATCCTGTTATACAGTGGAACCTGCAGTTTCTCTCTGAATTGGTCTTGCTAACGAGGATTCCCTTCACTAAATTCCTAATGTAAATATTGCTGATTTCTGTTAAAATATTAAATATATACTGCACTATATGGATAGTTTACTATTTTTTTCTCTCATTTTTGAAACAGTCTCCCTATGCAACTCTGGCTGGCTTAGGATTCACAGGGCCCAGACTACAAGCCACTATTTTCTAGGCTTCCCCCCTTTAAAAACAAAACAAAACAAACAACAGATCCAAATCGTTTTTGCACCCTATACAGAAGATAAAGGCCCTGTCCAGTGGGCTGAGATGATTACAATATTAAACACGGCACAGTCAACCCACTAGCTTTTCAAACCCCAACATAAGCACAGAAACCAGGTTAGAAAGATAGGATGGAAGAGAAATTTTCCCAATCAAAGAGCTGGATCTGAGAGAGGAGAAAATGAGGCTTCAGGGTAGGACGAAGGAAAAGTTATTAAAGGGCAAGGCTGGACTAGCAAGCGATTCGGTTCTGTGTGTAGTTGCTTCGCTGGGCTTCGTTAAAATGGTCCAAAAGAGAAACAGAAATTGGAGCCCAAAGCGTAGGACGAACTTAGTTCCACTTTCCGCAGCCTAGGCTCTTCCCTCCTCCCTCCAATCCACCTCTAACACCGACCCCAGCCTAAGACGAGGTTGTTCTCCTCCAATGTCCACGTGGGGGCAGCCGGTCTCCGCCCCGCCACCAGGAGGACTTCCGCGTCCTCGCCGCCCCGCCCCCTGGCAGTTCTGCGCACGCTCGGGAGCCATATTCGCCGCGGATGCTTGGCCATCCTGGTTGGTTCTCCTGCTGAGTAAAGCGTCGCCGATCTGCACCCCTCACTGTCTTCCTCCGGTGAGGCTCGGTCTCCTAGGGCCCGGGGAAGCGTGGTCGCTGTCTCCTGGGCGGGGGCCACCTGCGTGGAGACGACGGCCAGGCTGGGGCGGCCGCCGCCGAGGAGCCGTGGGCACGATGACTTTGCACCCGCCTCCTCGGTGACCGGCCTTTCAGGGACTGGTCCCCGCCGGCCGCCGTCGGGCATCTCCGCGCGGCCTGGACGGCAGACCCGGACTCTGGGACCCCCTGCGTCGGTGCGAGGGGTGGGGCGGCTCTGCTAGTCCCTTCGGGAAAGTGGAGCTGCGGGGAAAGTCCAAAGCTTGTGGCGCCGGCGCGGGGCGTGGAGGTAGAGCTGTGTTCGCAGCCTAATCGAAACCCGGTGTGGCCTGGCTGCTGTGCACGGGTCCACCTTTCTGTTTCTCCTACACGTTGGAATCGACTCCTGGCAGGTTAGCTTGCCGGACGACTTTCCTAAAATGTCAGTTCTTAGGGTCCTTGCGCCCAGTCATTTGTGGAGCCGTCAGGAGTAAGAGATTAAAGTTTTCACCTGAGCACCCAGACCCTTCAGATGTCTGTTTAACTTTCCAGCCACGATTCCTGGTTTCCCATTATTAAGCTGTATAGGAACTGAACTCTGGGTGCCATTTTTCCATTGAGGCAGAGCTTCCATTGCTGTCTTTCGAAGAAATGAGGCCCAGGTTTACCACCTGCCTCTACACCCTGAAATTCAGGGCCATATCAGGCTTAGGCAATTTGTCCCTTATCCGCTCAGTTCCACTTCATTAACCTTTCTCATCCTGCTCTACTTGGAATGTCCTTCCCTTCACCCTTCCCCAATTTTCCTTCGACTTGAGGCTTTTCTACTTATGTTTGCCTCTCCCATCTGTGATTTACTCTCATTCTCAGTATTTGTTTCTCAAAAACTTACTTGCAGTCATCCCTTCTTCCCATCCCACCCTCGGTGCCTCTTCCGGTTACTTTATGATCTGTGTCCCTCTCCTCTGGCCGCTAGATAATGAGTTCTTTGGACAGACTTGGCTTTCACCTTTAGGTGGTTCAGCATCCAGTACAGTTCCCAATGGCTGTCTGATGCATAGTGTTAGCTGAATGAGGGTGTGGAGCAAACAGTTTAAAAGGTTGAAGACACTTTTCACTTTTTGAGACAGGGTTTCTCTGGGTAGCCTTGGAGCCTGTCCTGGAACTAGCTCTTGTCTACTAGGCTGGCCTCGAACTCACAGAGATCCGCCTGCCTCTGCCTCCCAAGTGCTGGGATTAAAGGCATGCACCTGGGTAGAAGATACTTCTTAAATTACGATTTTTTTTTTAATGATCCTATTTTCTTTTCACAGGAGTTACATAAAGTTCAGAAGCCATGGTGAGTTCATGACACGTTTCATTTAATTTTTGCCTGTTGAATGCTACGGCTTGTTTGCAGCTAAGAGACTGACAGAAGTGAAGCAGAAGCAGGTGGGGGTGGGGTGGGGTGGAATGGTGGCTTCCTCCCCTGAACTCAGCACCAGGACACAGCTGTAGATTTGTGGGCTTCCAGAAGCTGACTGACTTCAGTGACAGGCATCATCGCTCTGTTTTTCCTTTGCAGTCTCGAAGATATGACTCCAGGACCACAATATTTTCTCCAGAAGGTAAATTAGAAAATTTAACCTGCTTCAAAGAAAGTTTTTGTTTAGTTTTGTTCTTTTTTTTTTTTTTAAGTATTATACTTTTAGTGGTGGGGGGAGCTACACGTGTGTCTCTTGGTGTTAGGCTCATTCTTTTTGTACTTTGAAATAGCTGTTGTCCCTAGGTTGATCACAGCATGTGTTGTTGAGTAGTGAAACTAAGGATGTGACTGTGCCCCGCTAGTGTCTGCTGGTTTCTCAGGATTAGCACTGTAGGAACATGGAGGAACGCTGTGTCTCGCTGTTTTGTAGGTCGGTTGTACCAAGTGGAGTATGCCATGGAAGCTATTGGACACGCGGGCACCTGTTTGGGCATCTTAGCCAATGATGGAGTCCTGCTTGCAGCAGAGCGGCGCAACATCCACAAGCTTCTTGACGAAGTCTTTTTTTCTGAAAAAATTTATAAACTTAATGAGTAAGTGGCTCTGAGGGGAGAGTTTGCTCTATTTCACTTTCTAGCCTAAATGGGATTTGCATATCTGGAAAGGAGTCTTCTATGTGAGATGGTAGAACTGAAGGGAATAGATTAATTTTTTTCTTGTGAAAATTTGTGTATTTGCTTTATTTTGCTTGAAACCTCCTTGAAGCCTCACTTATTGTGTTATGTCTCAGTATGTTCAGTATGTGTGTAATTCACTTCGAGTGCAAAGCTAAACACTTAGTGCAAAATGGCATTGTGCAGTGATAAAAGTATGTACTTACTGGTCACACAGATTCGGTTTAAAATTCAAAGTTGATCAATACAAGGTGTGATGTGCACCAATTATTTAACTTCTTGGGGACTCAGATTGGTTGTAGAAATCTAATGAAACAAAATAAATGAGCGAAATAAACTCACACAGTGTCTAGCCATAAGCAAGCCCTAGTGGTATTGCTTAGAATGACGGTGTAGAGACTCTGGAGAATTATACTGACTCTTTACCAAAGAACCGGGTTTTGGAGATCTGGGCATGGTTTAACCACACAGTACAGTCCAGTTTCTGTTCAGGTTGAGTAGTACTTGGGACTTTGTTTTTTGTGGAGGACTGGCTGTGCTACATAGAGACTTTGCCTTGTGGAGTAGGCCTGATGAATGCTTGTTGCTGAGGCCTATCTAATTATTTGTTTATTATAATGTTGAATGTGTATACCGTACATTCTGACTCTTTTCACATCCTATCCCTACCATGCCCGTCTTCCTTCTCCCTGCCCACAAATCTTTCTTACGTGTCTGTTTACAGATTGACTGACATTCCCAGGGCCATCTGTGTAACTGTGGGTTGAAAGCTGTCTATTGGAGGCCGGTGGGCTTAGCAGTTGGCACATAACCAAGGACAGTGATTCTTCCTTTCTCAGAATTTTTCAGTAGCTAAGAGTTGCAATATAAAGACAGGGTCCTGTGAGCCCTTTCTTGACTGATTATTGGTAGGATGTGGTGAGTCTTTTTCTGTCCCGGTAGCCAGCTCCCAAATAATGACACAAAGACTTTTTATTAGTTGTGGAAGCTCAGCCTATAGCTTAGGCCTGTTCCTAAGTAGCTTTTATAACTTGAATTAACCCGTTTATATTAATCTGCATTCTGTCACATGGGGTTACTCTCTTCCATCTTACACCTCTTGTTTCCTCTCCATCCATCCTGGTCTCTCCTCGGAAATCCTGCCTGTACCTCCTGCCTAGCTGTCGGCCATTCCGCTTTGTATCACACCAGTCACTGTATTCATCTTCACACAGAGTACAAATATCCCACAGCATCCAGTCTTGCCTGTGCCCAAAGCAGTTGTGAACTGATGGTTTCAGCCTAGTCTGCAGCCCACTCTCTGTCTCCTACTCTTTCCCACACGCCTGTCTGAAGGCCTTCGAGAGGCAGTGGAATAAGCGGCTGCTTTAGGGCTGTCCCACAACTGTCACTTATCCCCTGCACCAGACACCCATGAGTCTGCACTTACCAGCACTTAAGCTGAGGCTTCTCTGATTAAGGCTGGGGTCCACTTTTGTCTAAGAGGAAAGGTATAGGTACTTAGAAGCCACCAGAAAGACACTCCCTGCATGGGCCTAGTGCTCTCACGGGCCTTTGGCACACTCACTTGTCACAGTGTCCTCCTCCCCCCAGTCACTTTAGGCCCTCCTCAGCGGCTGGAGCACTTGTTGAGGCACAGTCCCAGCAGGTAGCTAGACTGTGGAGCCAGGGAAAGCTATGGGGAGCAGGCAGAAAAGGGAGTGCATGCCTAGACAGCCCGTGAACCCCCACCCTGTGTCCCTTCCCCTCACACCTGTCAGGCCAGGCAGTGAGTTACACCCCAGTAGGGGTTTGTCCACTCAACAAAGCCTTTTCTTGGTTCCTTTGGTTTAGCTACTTAGCGTTCCTTTTCTTGCCTGCTTCCAGAGGGCAATAATAAATCTCTGCTGGAGAACTGAGACTGCATTTGTTTATCATTTGTGCAGAATGACATTAGGTAAACATCTCCCAAGATCATGCTTCCATAGCCTTTTCCCCGAGGCTGGTCCTGTGAGGAAAGTTGGTGAATCCCTCATAGATCTAGGTACTTCTTAACACTCAGAAATGCCCTAGCAAGCATCTTTCCTCTTACATTGGTCTTTTCTTTTTTTTCTTCAAGGGACATGGCTTGCAGTGTGGCGGGCATCACATCTGATGCTAATGTTCTGACTAATGAACTAAGGCTCATTGCTCAAAGGTACGGATGGAGTAGTGTGCCACCCAGCACATGAGTCACATGGCTCCAAGGCAGAGTTTAAAGTTGTTTTAAAAATCTACTAATTGGCCAGGCGGTGGTGGCGCACACCTTTAATCCTAGTCCTCTGGGTGGGGGGAACAGGGGAGGAAGAGGCAGGGGCAGGCTGATCTCTGTGAGTTTAAGGCCAGCCTGTTCTACAGAGTGAGTTCCAGGACAATCAGCTATACAGAGACAGAAACTCTGTCTCGAAAAAAAAAATCCATTAATTGATAAGTATATTCTTCCTAATCAAACAAACGTATAAAATTATAAAATACGGGTACACATGAGAATACTAGTATTCTTTTTCTCCGTCCTCTTCAGAGTAGAAGTGACTGCTACATTTATCCCCATTTTATATATATATATATATATATATATATATATATATATATATATATATATATTCATTCATTCAGAGGGCATTTCCTTGCATTGTATATGTTTTTGAAAAGCCTGTTAATATGTCATTCTCTTTACCGTAGGTATTTATTACAGTACCAGGAGCCAATTCCATGTGAGCAGTTGGTTACAGCACTGTGTGATATCAAACAGGCTTATACACAGTTTGGAGGTACTGAGTTTCTGTGGGAATACTCTGAAAACTTAAAACATTCTATAAGGAATAAACTCTTGCTTTGTTTTGTTCTGTGTTAAGGTTTTTTGAGGTTGTTATTTTGACTTTGTTGGGTTTCTTTTGGGGGTTTTAAAATATATTTTTAAAAATATTTTTATTCTCTGAGAATTTCATACAATGAATTTTGATAATACCCACCATTTCCTTCCAAATCTATCCCCCACCTGTCAACCTGCACAACTTCATGTTCTTTTCTTCCCTCCCACTTTCCTCTTCTAAATCCTTCAGTCCAGTTTGTGCTAAACAAACACACTGGGTGTGGGACCTGCTCTATAGCAAGGGCCACACCTGTAAAGAAAATGACTTCCTCTCCCAGCAGCTACCAATACTAGAAACTCATCAGCTGGAGGTGGGACGTCATGCCCACCTCCCTTGGTATTCGTCCTCTCCTCAGTATCCCTCCTCCCTTCGGTGTACCTCCTCCTCTCAGTATCCCTCCTCCTCTTGGTATCCCTCCTCCCTCGATATCCCTCTTCCTCTCGGTATCCCTCCTCCCTCTGTATCCCTCTTCCTTTCAATATCCCTCCTCCCTCGGTATCCCTCCTCGTCTCGGTATCCCTCCTCCTCTCGGTATCCCTCCTCCCTCGATATCCCTCCTCCCTCGGTATCCCTCCTCGTCTCGGTATCCCTCCTCCCTCGATATCCCTCTTCCTCTCGGTATCCCTCCTCCCTTTGGTATCCCTCCTACCCCGGTATCCCTCCTCCCATGTGGGGCTTGGGCATGTTGTCACAACTACTGCGAGTTCGTTTGTAGCTTCCCTGTTGTGTCTGGAAAACATTGTCTTGTCACCCGCCACCTCTGGCTCTTATGCTCTGTCCCTTCTTCCGTGATCCCTGGGTGTTGGAGGAGTGATAATGTCCCGTTTAGGGATAAGCACTCTGAAGTCTCTTATTCCCCATATGTTTTGTTTGTGAGACATTCACACAGTGTAGCCTAGACTCACCTGGCGCTCTCTGCTATCCTTCTGCCACAGCCTCCTGAACCCTGAGGTACAGATACCGCCTGCTCTGTGGAAATCTGCTTCCACATGCCACAACAGGATGCTTCATGGCCAGAGTAGCCTTTCAAGTCTGGAAACAGATCATTTTTACATAATAATGAAATTTTGCACGGGGATGGGGGTCTTCAGTTTCCTCATTTCCTCCCCAGCCGGAGTCCAGCTCCTAGAAACAGAAGTGGCATTTGTGACGGAACTTATCTGTGGTGGCCAGAACACAAAAGCAATTTATGCATGCTTAACTCCACAGACAGGCTTGGGCCGCATCCACTGAAAGCTCTAAATTGAGGTGGTTGGGTTTTAAAATTGAGATTATTGATTTTTTTTTTCTTTGTTAAGGAAAACGTCCCTTTGGTGTTTCTCTGCTGTACATTGGCTGGGATAAACACTATGGCTTTCAGCTCTACCAGAGTGACCCAAGTGGAAATTACGGGGGATGGAAAGCCACGTGTATCGGGAACAACAGTGCTGTGAGTATCTTTGTGACGCTGACGTGCAGGGAATGCTAAGGTCTGTGCTGGTGGAGTAGCGTTTAGTGCAAGAGTGTCTAACGGCATTTAACAACAGTGTCAGCGCGGCCTCAGTGTGGTCTCTGCTACTATATGCTGTAGTTTGTTGATGATATTTATAGCTAAGTGCTAGTTTTCAATTATAAGTTGTAAGAACTTTTTTTCTCATATGTTAATTCACACCTGAACCCTTTTTTGTTTGTTTGTTTGTTTGTTTGTTTGTTTGTTTTTTCCCCATTAAGGGTTTTTCTGTGTAGCTTTGGAGCCTGTCCTGGAACTTGCTCTGTAGACCAGGCTGATTTCGAGCTCAAAGTTCCACCTGCCTCTGCCTCCCAAGAGCTAGGATTAAAGGCGTGCACTACCACTGTCCTGCTCACATCTGAACTCTTTCGGGCGAGGCCACAGGTTCAAGGCCTTCAGAACACTGGTCACCCTGGTCCCTTCCCCATCCATGTTACCTTTCCCGCTGTCAACATTGTTTGTACCGGTTGCATAGCCGATATGAATTCAGGCAGTTGGTGTGTTAGGCCAGTCCGTCGTACTCTCCCCTAAATGCACAGATTTGAAGGAAACTCTCTGTGTTGATTCTTTGTTTTTTTAGGCAGCCGTGTCAATGTTGAAACAAGACTACAAGGAAGGAGAGATGACTCTGAAGTCGGCACTTGCCCTCGCTATCAAGGTGCTAAATAAGACCATGGATGTTAGTAAACTGTCCGCTGAGAAAGGTAAGCCCGGTCCTCCTGGTTTGTCTAACTGAATGAGGGGATTCATTGAGTAGCTACTGTAGCCTTAGGTCTTTAATGAGTTTTAGTTTATTGAAGCAGCCACCTTAAGGGACACTGGAGACTCCATGCTGTTAAATGACTAAGATTAGCCTTGATGAATTGTAGAACCACAGTCCTACGTCATAGGGCAGACTTAAGCATTTGAGCCTGAATGTAATTCCTGTTTTGGAGATCCTGTGCTTCTGGCTGGCCTTGGCGTCACTGTTAGACCAATGCTGGCATCAAGCTAGCAGTGATCCCCTGCCTGTGCCTCCAGAGTGCTGGGATTACAGGTGTGCATCGTCATGCCTGATGGAAACTGCTTTTTAGCTCATTGTTTTGAAAAGAAATTAAGAAAGTTCATTAAAAATAGTGTTGTATTGTTTGAATATTCTGGCTTGTTCCTTCTGGTCAGCACAGCTTGTGGGTCAGAACAACTTCTGACCTGGCTTTACTGGGTAACACAGATGTTTGCTGAGAAAGTTACTGAGGGAAGAAGAAATCCTTAGGTAAAAATGGTAATCAGGGTATCACAGGATCAAAGGCATTCTGTTCCCATAAAAATGTGAGTATATCGTTTAGAGTATATAATATGGGAGAGTAAGAAAAAGACCAAGATGCAGGTAAAGAGAGAGTAAACCATTCTGTCTCTGACACAAATGTGTGTTTATGTTTTTAGTGGAAATCGCCACACTAACGAGAGAGAATGGGAAGACCGTGATCAGAGTCCTCAAGCAGAAGGAAGTAGAACAGTTGATCAAAAAACACGAGGAGGAAGAAGCTAAAGCTGAGCGGGAGAAGAAGGAAAAAGAGCAGAAAGAAAAGGATAAATAAACAAAATCACGGATTTTATAACTTCTTAGAGGCACCAATTCAGTTAGGTGTTGTCCTGGCCTTCTACCCTGGAAAGGTTTTTTTTGTTAATTTTTTCTTCTTTAACTTGCCCATCGGGGAAATAGGACATTACATACTGAATTGGGTCCTTGTGTCTGTCCAGTTGGATGCTTTATTGTAATGATGGACATCTTTATAGACATCTTAATCTTAACACATAATTTTTTTGGAATAAAATTTAGAAAGATTGGTTATGGTGAAGGAAAAATTTCTCTGTGGCAGTAATTGTTGAAGATACCGCAGTTGGCCAGAGAAGTGCACACACTACTCTTGCAGAGGACCTAAATTCAATTCGCTGCACCCATATTGGTGGGTCACGGCCACAACTTCATCTGCCGGGGGATGCAGTGCTCCTGGCGTCTGCACTCATGCATAGCCCACCCACGTGCAGACACACATAATTAAAAATGAGTAAACAAAAGAACACCAGGGTTGCTAGAGTGATGATTACCTTCTTTTTGTGAAGTATGTATACTATGACTTACCCAGATTTTACAAAGTGGGCAGGCTTCCTGCTGTCTCCAGGGACTGGTTTGAGACTGAACAGTTAGACTAAGCAGCGCCTTAGGATAATCTGCATGTCTGTAAGAAATACTGAGTCCTGACTCTGGAACTGAAGCTGCCCATAGTCAGCAGCCCCAGCCTCATAGAAGATAGTGTGGGAGGAGTTTGCAGTCTGAAAAGTGGGACCAACAGGAAAGAGCAACTCCAGTGAGGCCGGAGGGAGCTCCCTTGCTAGGTTTAGCTCATTCTGTCCACTTGCTTCTGTGACTTGGCAGAAGGAAGGAGTGCAGTTGTTAAAAGTGTGGTTCATGGACTCCCAGCAGGAGTAGAATTACAGGAATAGAAATTGGGGAATCACACCCCAGACCTTCTGAATTCAAGTCTCTGCAGTTGAAACCCGGTCCCACTCTGTTGTCCACAGACTTGCATCCACCTCCACCCCAGGGCACTGGACCTAGAGTCTTGGGCATGGTGAACTGACAGTTGGGCACAAAGATGCATTCCCCACCTGATTTGACAAGCCGTAGATTGGAATTCTTACGCTTGTTAAAGTTGGAGAGGTAAGTTTTGCACACTAGGATCATCTGGTTGGCTTTTCAAACTTGGGCACAAGCTGAACTCCATGCCCATTAGCCATTAGCTCCAGGGGATCCAGACATAGGCATTGCTTTAAAAACCTGGGATATTCCATGGCGGCAGGATGAGAGCCGATTTCCTTAGCTAGTGTCTGTCAAATACAGGGTCTAATGTTTTGTTTTTTGTTTTGGATTTTTTTTTTTTTTGGCAGGGTTTCTCTGTTTATCCCTGGCTATCCTGGAACTCGCTCTGTAGACCAGGCTGTCCTTGAACTCAGAGATCACCTGTCTCTGCCTCCCAAGTGCTGGGATTAAAGATGTGCACCACCCAACAGGATCTCAGTTTTAAATCTCCAACGTACATTGAAGTAATAGTAGTTTCTTGCAGGATGTGTGTTACTTTATTTTTAATAATTTATATATATGTATGTGTGTGTGTGTGAGTGGACAGAGGCCAGGCATTCAAGATCCCCTGAACTGGAGTTACAGGTGGTTGCCAGCTGCCTAACATGGATGCTAGGAACTGAACTCCATTCCTCTGCAAGAGCAGTTATGCTGATTTAACAGCTGAGCTGTCTGTCCAGTCCTTGAGTTGTCTTAATAATGACTTTTCTGAAACATTTGCTATATTGTTCATACAGCTAATTATCACTTTAGAACCTGTTCGTTAAAATCAACCATATATATATATATATATATATATATATATATATATATATGTATGTATATATAGTGTATTCATCTGTCCATACCAGTTTTATACACGTTTCTACTTAAGAGACACCTTTTTTGGGGTGTGGGTGTGTGTGTGTGTGTGTGTGCGCGTTCGTGCACGTGCGCCACACGTATCTTTGTGGCCCAGGCTGGCCTGGAGCTCACAGCCATCTTTCTTCAATTTTCTAAGTGCTGAGATAATAACAGGTGTGTGCACTATACACAAGAGGCCCAACCAACAGCATTAGGGGTAAATGTTTTTTTCTCAAGGTACATCGTAGTCTTCTTGTGCTTAGGAGATGAGCAAGCACCGTGTCTGAAAGTCATTTTCAACCAAAAATCCCTTGTGCATGAAAACGTGACGCAAGATGGGTAGTAGGCTCAGTACAAGAGCTCATGTGAGAAGATCAAGGGTCACCTTGTTGGCCCTCACCTAGGAACATATGCCTCAAACTACTCGAAACAGACTACACAAACAGCAAGGACAGCATTGTGTCTCAGTTAGGGTTCTATTTTGATGAAACACCATGACCAAAAGCAGCTTGGGAGGAAAGGGTTGATTTCATCATACACTTTCAGGGAATAGTCCATCACTGAGGGAAGTCAGGGCAGGACCCCCGGGGCAGCAGCTGATGTAGAGGCTATGAAGGGGTACTGCTTACTAGCTTGTACCTCATGGCTTTCTCAGCCTGGTTTTCTTGCAGATCACAGGACCAGCAGTCCAGGATACCATGACCCACAATGGGCTGGTCCCTCCCACATCAATCACTAAGAAAATGCCCAATGGCTTGCTTATACAGCCTGATTTTATGGTAGCATTTTTTCTTTTCCTATTTGAAAGTTTCCCCCTTTCCAATGACTGGTTTGTGTCAAATTGATGTAAAACTACCCAGCATACTGGGATCATAAGTACGTATTTGTGAGTAGACAGTTCCCCAAATCTTGATAGGACTGGCTGTCCATCCTTAAATGATCCTGTTTCTGTCTTGTTACACTTGAAAGTAGGACTGGATAGAAAAGTGGATCCAAAAACTGTCTTGACTGTTTTTCCAGCTTGTGCCCAGAGTCCAGCCAGTGAGCACTGTAGGGATCAGGAATGCTCTCTCATTTGGGTTTCAGCAGCCCGAACTGGTTTTCTTTCCCTATAATCAACTGCCTCTGTAAAAGTCCAGTTCTCTACACTGGCCCATGAGAGCACCCTGCACTCTGGCCCCTCTGCTGCCTTCCTTTCCCGCCTTTGTTCCCCTCTCCAGTTCATCCGAACGATCTGGCGGTCCTTGGACAAATCAAGCCCTCATCTCACAGTTCATGTATTTGCCAGTTCTGCCTTGGAAACCCCACCCCACCCCCTGTCCCCGTTATCTGTCTCTGCTCCCTCATCTATTCTGATGAAATGCCTTCTCACTTGGCGCCTCCGGAAGAGACCTGCCATCCCTTCTCTGAGCCCCTTGCCCTGCTGTGCTTCCTCCATGGCGCTCTTCACCAGCTGTCACATTTGCTGTCCATCTCCAGGATACATCTCCAGGGAAAGGACTTCGTTTTCTTTCAGTAGCCATATCCTAGTTCCATAAACAGGAACTGGCACATTCAAAGCAACAAATAAATACGAAGAATGGATAAATAGTGCCCCTTCCTGATATGCTATGTAAAATTCTGAAAAACCCTTTCCTGCTTAGGTTAGAAGGACCGGTGGGTTTTCTATGTCGTGACCACCCCTGCCACATCCCAGAAGTTAGGACACCTCAGAGACCAGTATAGAAGAGAGCCCAGGGCACTTTGCCACCACCTTAGGAGTGCTTCTGCAGAGTTTGGGGAAGACACTCTCTTGACAGCTTTATACTGGGAAGCCAAGGGTGGTGGGGGCAGCCACGGCTGTAACAGTTGTTTTTCCCTGCTTTGGGATTAGCCTATCTCACCCAGCCTCCTTTTCAGCTGCTCTATGGCTTATTTTTATCCCAGTTGCAGGGCTTTCTGGTTCTAGAGTGTTGCCTGATGCATCCCAATTGTAGCCTTAGCTGCCCCCGTCCTAACAGGCACCCTTCACCAATAGCAATCATTGAATTCTCATCTGGGCAGAACTGGATGGTTCTCACAGGGCACCTCCAACACAGCAGCCCTCTGACAGAAACAATTAGGAACCCAAAGAGAGCCCAGGTTTAAATTATGAATCAAAAATCTTGATTTCACTTTAGAGAGTTTCAGATCATGCTTTTTAAAAATAGCGATGTGGTGGTGAATTGTGTGCTCCTGTGTGTAATCCCACTTCTGGTGTTTTTCTTAATCAGAAATAAATCTGGAATTTCTACAGTCTAGCACTTTGAAAGTTCCATGAAAGCGTTTATTTTAGCAGGAAAAACAAGAAAAAGCAAGAGAGAAAAATCCCCTTGGTCTGGAGAGGTGATGGCTCAGTGGTTAAGAGCACTTGTTGCTCTTGCAAGAACCCAGGTTCAATTCCCAGTACCCACTTGGGTGACTTATAGCTGCCCATAACTAGTTCCATGAGAGCTGATTCCTGGTTTCCGTGGCCACAGCATGCACAAGGTTCACATACATACAATCAGGCATGTATCCGCTTAAAATAAAAAATTTTTAAAGAAAGATCTCACACTGTGGGAAACTAAATTACTGGACAAGTACATTTCTGATTAATTTTTGGTATCGGGGTACGTGTGGATGGTGATGAATAGACCCTCAGCTCTTAGTTTGCAGTCTCAGGAATGGCACACATTCACCTAAATCTAGATTCTACATATGAGAGAAAAATACTGAAGGTATTGTTCTGAGTCTGGCTTAATTTGCTTAACCTGATACTCTCCAGTTCCATTCCATCCATTTTCCCGCATATGTCTTGATTTCATTTTCCTTTATGGCTGAGAAAGATCCATTGTGAATATGGAGCACATTTACCTTACGGAAGTGTGTAAGGCTTGATGGACGTGCACGCCAGCCCTGTGCAAGACTGTACTAATCTTTCTATCAAAAGAAAAGAAAAGCTATGGAACGCCTGCTGCTCAAGTGAGCGTTATTTTCAGGCTCCTTTAAGGATTCCCTTGCCATCTGTGTTACAAGTATTTCCCTACTTTAGTTTTTGCACTTTAATTTCATATGTCGGTATACTGAGTGGTTTTTGTTTGTTTGTATAGGCAACATTGTCAATCATTTGAAGTTGGTTTTTTTCTTAATTATTTATATTTTTGACATACGTGTTGTCTTAGGGTTTCTATTGCAGTGATGAAACACCATGACCATAAAGTAAGTTGGGGAAGAAAGGGTTTATTCATCTTACACTTTCATGTCACTGTCATCAAAGAAAATCAGGGCAGGAACTCGGACAGGGCAGGAACCTGGAGGCAGGAGTTGATGTAGAGGTCATGGAGGGGTGGCTTACTGACCGTTCTTCA